AAATGGGCAAAGGACTTGAAAAGACATTACTCCAAAGATATACAAATGGTCAATAAGTACAGGAAAAGATGTTCCACACCCACAGTCACTAGGAAAATGTAAATCAAAACCACAAGGAGGAGGGCTGGCTGGTTAGCTCAGTTGGTTAGAGCGCGGTGTTACAAAACCGAGGTTGAAGGTTTGGATCCCCCTACCATCCAGCCTCCAGAAAACAAAAACAAATGCACAATGAGGTATCACTTCCCATCTACTTTGATGGCTATAATCAAAAAGTCAGATAATAACAAGTGTTGGCGAGAATGTGGAAAAATTAGAATCCTCATACGTTGCTGGTGGGACTGTAAAATGGTGCAGCCACTGTGGAAAAGTTTGACAGTTCCTCAGAGAGTTAAATAGTTAGCATATGACCCCAAAATTGTACTCTTAGATATACACCTGCTGTGGATTGAATGTTCCCCCAAACTCATTCAACCTTAAGCCCCACTGTAACTTTTGACAGTGGGACATTCTATTATGAAAATTGAAAGGTGGGCCTTGAAGAGGCGATTAGATTGTGAGGACCATGCCCTAGTGAGTGAATTAACCTATTTGATGGTTTAATGGTGGTTGTGGACATGGTTGTGATGGCATTAAAAGTAGAGTGCATGAGCTCTCTTTCTCTCTGCTTGAGCCATCCATCATGTGACACCCTGTGTTGCTGAGCCACCACCCAAGAAGGCCCTCACCAGATATGTCCCCTGGACTGTGGACTTCCCAGCCTCCAAAACTGTAAGCAATAAATACTATTTCTTCTAAAATTACCTGGTTTCAGGGATTCTGTTATAAGCAACAGAAATGGACTAATACAGTTCGGTAGTTCCTCAGAAAGTTAAATAGTTACCATATGACCTGACAACTGTACTCTTAGATATACACCCAAGGGAATTAGAAGAATATATCGACACAAAAACATGTACACAAATGTTCATAGCAGCATGATTCATAACAACCTAGAAATGGAAACAACCCAATGTTCATCAACTGATTAATGGATAAACTAAATGTGACATATCCATACAATGGAATATTATTCAGCCAGAAAAGGAAATGGAGTCCTGATACATACTACAACACTGATGATCTTGAGAACATTTTGCTAAGTGAAAGCCAGACATGAAAGGCTGCGTATTGTATGATTCCATTTATATATAATATCCAGAACAGGCAGATCCACAGAGAAAGTAGGTTAGTAGTTGCCAGGGACTGGAGGAAGAGAGGTATAAGGAATGACTGCTAGTGGGTATGGGGTTTCTTTTTGAGTTAATGACAATGTCCCTTAATTAGACAGTAGTGATGGCTGCATTTCTCTGTGACTATACTATTAAACACCACAAAATTGAATAGTAAAAGGGCGAATTTCAGGGTATATGAATTATATCTCCACTTACAAAAAAGGATCTGGGTAGCAATGGAGTGTGAGCACCTAGGACATCTTGTGGTGTGACGTCGAGTTTTGGATGTAATCACACAGGCCTGCACTCAGGCCCTCTGTTTTCTGCTTAACAACTACAGGGGCACTGGCACAGCCACGGTGACAGGGAGGTTCCTCAATCTCTGCCCCAAACAGGGACAGATAAAAAGCAAACCAGGACGCTAAAATGTTAGCCTCCTATCGGCAATTGTGTGGGCCAAACATCTTTATAAAGGCAGGATGGTTCAGAAAAAGAAATCAAATCATGTGGCTGAGAAAGTAAAAGATGGAAAGGAGGAGAGAGAGGCAGGGACAGAGCTCCTCAAGGATGTACTTCTCTCTCAGAAGCTGGGACCTATCTGGGTGGCAGACACAATTCTGACACAAAGTACTGCGTCATCCCAGGGCCCACAGGTGCACAGCTACACGAGGACCGCCATGGTTCACATGCACAAGGTCGGATGTACTTCTCTCTCAGAAGCTGGGACCTATCTGGGTGGCAGACACAATTCTGACACAAAGTACTGCATCATCCCAGGGCCCACAGGTGCACAGCTACACGAGGACCGCCATGGTTCACATGCACAAGGTACTCACAGCTCCCACATATAAAGGTGGTGCAACTGATGGTGATCTTAAGGGGGACCCCTTCTATAGCTTCATGGAGAACACGTGGTACGTGTGGTTTGAGAGCAAGGATAAGAAAATCATTACATAAAATTCACTTCAGTAGAAACGAGGAGGAGGAACATTTTCAAAATGTTAAAACTGGGACCAGTCAGGAGGGCAGCATTTATTGAGCACCATTGCAGGCACCACTGTTAAGGCAGAAATAAATGAGGTGTTATCACCCCCATTTTACATACCTGGAAATTAAGACTTGGAGAGGTTAAGTAACCCACCCAAGGACAGAGATAGAAAATGATGCTTCCAGGATCTTTATTCAGGAAGAGATTGCAAAGCCCTTGCTCTCAAACACTAGGCTGCATTGACTTTGGACAGCTTATGCATGAATGATTCATGTCTCATGCCCTCTGCATTTTTTATAATACTTTATCGAGATATAATTCACATAGCATACAATCCACCTATTTAAAGTACACAATCTCCACAATCAATTTTAGAACATTTTCATCACTCCAAAAAGAAACCCTGTACCCATTAGCAGTCACTCTTCATTCTCCCCTAACCACTAATTATTTTCTGTTTCTACAGATTTGCCTATGCTGGATATTTCATATAAATGGAATCATGCAATAAGTGGTTCTTTGTGACTGGTTCCTTCACTTAGCATGATGTTTTTAAGGCCATCGATGTTGTAGAATATATTGGTACTTTATTCCTTTTTATGGCTTTTTCATTCCTTTTTAAATAATATTCCATTGTATGGATACACCACATTTTATTTATCCATTCACCAGCTGATGTACTGGGTTGTTTCCACTTTTTGGCTATTATGAATCATGCTGCTATGAACATTCATGTATAAGTTTTTAGTGTGAACATATTTTAAAATTTCTTTGGGGTTATCTACCTAGGAGTGAAATTGCTCAGTCACATGGTAACTCTATGTTTAACCATTTAAGGATCTGCCAGAGTTTTTTTCTAACGCGGCTGCACCACTTCACATCCCCAACAGCAGCATATGAGCATTACTGCTTCTGCACATTCTTACTAACATTTGTTATTGTATGTCTTTATTACAGTGATCCTAGTGGGTGTGAGGTGATACTTCCTTGAACTTTTGATTGTCATTTCCATGATGGTTAATAACACTGGGCATCTTTTCATTTGCTTATTGGC